ACGTCCCAGAACACTCCAGCTCACAGGTTAGTCTGCTCCAAGCATTCCCACAAAGGTCAGTGTTTTGTAGTAGTTAATACGTCATTTTTCATAACATAATTGGTGATATAGGTTACAAGCGCTATGCTCCTTTGTTTATTGTGCATAAATAGTGAATTGTCCTGACACAATATTGCGTTTCGCTTCTGTTATTACCATGGTACATTGACAAAAACATATACTTTTATTCACAGGATAAAACAGTTTTTTTGTATCACTAATTGTCCAGTGCGATTACAGCATACAATATTATTGTCACTGTTACATTTCTGTAACGCGTACCAGAAATTATTTCCACTACTAATTAATTACCGTTGAGCTCAAAGGTCCTATTAATAAACGGTTAACGAATGTGTATTTATGAAGACGATTTGTGAGACTGGTAAACTTACGATGGTCTTTCGTTCTACACGGTGCATTTCATGGTCCTGTACCCATCCGTCGGCAAACTGTTCCTGGGCTTGTTGCAGTGACCTGAAGTTACTAAACTTCATGAGTGTATGCACTCACTCCAAGAACCGTATGATTATAAATATGAGCGTGGTGAAAGTTGGGCAGCACGCTAACGTCTTTTGTCCCTCTGTGTGCTCGTAAGGGTCTAACCCTTTCACTCCTTTGATTTTTTCCTCGTATCTTTTCTTTGACTTTTCATCAAGTCTGTCTTTGTACGGACCGGCATTGTTCTCCTTCGTTTTGTACATAACTTTTTTGGGGGGCGAAGAGAAAGCAAGAAGGTATTGGAACCGGAGAATGAACGTTTTGCGGTGCTGCAAATGCTTGCGTTTGATGCATTGCTTTGATTGTTTTGCCACTAGTACATGCAATGCGCGAAAGTCACATGGTCTGTCAATCTCTATTGCCTATCCTGGTGGTCTGTGTGTTTGTCCATCAATATGCCTTCTCAGACTATCACTGACCCATCACTAAACCATTCATGCTGATGTTACAGGCAGCATAACGTTCTCCACTGCGTCTCCAGACCCTTTCACGTCTGTCACACGTGTCAAGGTTAACTTAATCTCATCTGCGAAATGCTGAATGGTGTTACTGGCAGCATAACATATGATTGTTTGACCGATAAGTTCACACCAGTGACCATTTTGTAGGTCTGGCAGTGCTCAACGTGTTCCTACTGATGGGTTATGGTCCTTTTACAGTGCAGTCCTTCTAGAGTAGCTCCCTATCTTCTGAAATCTCCTCCATGCTCTTGACTATGCTAGGAGACACAGCAAATGTTCTGGAAATAGCACGCATTAATGTGCATCCTGAAGGAGTTGAACTACCTGTCCCCTGTAGAGTCAGCTCTATAAGATAACACCAAAGCAGCTAAATTGATCAACAACACTCTCTGTTACTTAACTCACTATACCATATACCATATACCGTAGGTTAACTGCCTTGATGGTATCTTGATGGCATACTTGGATTAAAAAGTGTTCCTTTAATATATAAATATATATATATATATAATGTGTGTGTATGTATGTATAAAATAAACTAATTAATTGCAGCCCTTCTCATTTCTAATCTTTTTGTACATTTCGCCCTCTTCAGTCTCCCTTTCTTTTCTTTTTCCTTTTGAATGTTGCACTTGAGACATGTAAGTGGCTGTTTTTGGCCATGCTGCTCTGCCAGTTTTGTGAAATCTGAACCATCTTTTCTTCCTTACCCTCTTTTTCTCTCCATTTACTGGCTGAGATGTGTTCTGTACTCACTGTATTTGTTCATTGTATGTTAACAAAACTTGAATAACCATGATCTTATAACTGATTTTTTTTTAGATTTTATGTTTGAACTTATTTTCACCCCAGTATTGTGTCTTAAGCTCATGGTTTGGTTGTATATGTTGTATGTGTGTCTATAACTTGTAACATTTTTAATAGACTAGAAGTGCTTTCATTTTTATCTTTAGTCAGTTTTAAGCAAGACTTTAACATACCTATGTTATTGCCTTTACACTACCAGTTGTTTAAGTTTCATTGTAAGGACATGAAAAGACAAAGAGTTAGGGAACTGTTGGCTGTTATTTATACATTTGTGTTGATGCTATCTGTGATCTACTAACAGTTTATATACAAAGGCACCACCAATTGATTTTATTTCTGACAGCATTCTTCCAAGAGCAGTGCAAATATGTGCGTGAGGGAGTAACAGTACACCAGTAGAAAGTGTAAGTGCAGGTTTTACATTTATGCGTTTCTCTGAAAAAGTATAGTAAGTGAGATCAATGTGGGGAGGCTGGAGGAGAATCTATATTATTCATATAAAAGCATATACATATGTTAGAAATTTTTGTTGTCTTCAGGACTGAGACTTCAGACCATTTATAAATCTAACCCTAAGTCTTACGATTGAGCTATTTTATCCATCCAAGAATTTAATCCTGCCATTGTAGCACAAGGTGATTATGTAGAAGTCCATGGGGAAAAAAAACCTTGGCTCGCATGAGCTGTGCTCTCAGTACACAATGTGGAATTGTTTGGCCAGAGAAGTTCACACCAGTAGCGTCCTGGGGGTCAATTTTTAGGTCTCTGGTAGTCCTCATCCTGTTCCTCCTTGCACAAAGAAAAAGAGCCCAGTTTAAGTCCAGCTTATAGTTCTGTTTAGAATAAATTCATGTGTTAACGTGTGAACTATTGTTACCAATCAGCTGTAAAAGGCTACAGGGAGGGGGTATTGTCATCACAACGCAAAAATCTTGTGAATGCAATAAAGACGGAAGTCGTTCTGAATTTGTAGTAAATGCATCTATGAGTTCGAATCCCACTGACCTTAATGTCAAGGCATGCTCCAGGCATAGTGGAGTTTGGATGAATAGGGGCTGAGGTGAGCAGATGTTCCAGTCTTTTGAAATTGGCCTCAGCCTCTGGGTTCCAGAGAAAAGGTTGTTTGGTGGAGGTGAGAGTGGTGAGGGGTGCAGATACATGGCTATATTTTCATATGAAGCGGTGATAGAAATGGGCTAATCCAAGAAACCGCTTGAGGTGTTTACAGGACGTTGGGGTAGGCCAGTCCGCCATGGCTTGGATCTTGGCAGGGTCCGTCTTCACCTGCCCTTCTGCAAGAACATAACCAAGAAAAGTCACTGAGAGGGAGTGAAATTCACGCTTTTTAGCTTTAACCTAGAGTCGGTTTTTCAGCAGGCACTGTAGGACGGCTTGGACGTGAACTTGGTGTTCCTCTCCATTCCTGGAAAAGATCAAGATGTCATCCAGATAGACAAGTACAAATTAGTTTAGAAAGTCTCCTAGTACATCATTGATCAGAGCTTGGAATACTTATGGTGTATTTGTGAGTCCAAAAGGCATGACTAAATATTCAAAATGGCCCAGTGGTGTGTTAAAGGCTTTCTTCCATTCTTTCTTCTCCCAGATGCAGATTAGATGCCAAGCATTGCAGAGATCTAGTTTTGTGAAAATGGTGGAACTGATTAGCGGGAGGGGGTATTTGTTTTTTATGGTTATTTCATTGAGGCCCCTGTAATCTATGCATGGCCGAAGGGTCTTACCCTTCTTTTCAACGAAGAAAAGTGTGTGGTGCCTCTGTGTTGCTGATCACCTTGTCAGATACACATTTTCAAAGACGCACATATTGTGGTCTTCCTGTCAGGTAATTAACAATCCAGGACACGAGAGGCATCCACCTGCGTCATTGTCAGCTTATCACCAAGCAGGGTCAGCCTGATGGTGTTGAATGCACTGGAAGTTGAAAAACATGACTCTCACAGTGCTCGCCAGCTGGTCCAGATGGGCGTAGACACAATTGAGCAGGTAGATAATGGCATCCTGCGCTATGAGGCAGCGCTGGTAAGCAAACTGAAGAGAATCCTTATGTGGCCTCACAATAGATCGGAGCTGGTCAAGAATGAGTCTTTCCAGGGTCTTCATGATGTGAGAAGTCAGTGCCACAGGCCTGTAATCCTGGGGCCACTGAGACGTGGTGTCTTTGGTATAGGAAAGAGGTATGACGTCTTCCACAGCACTGGGACCCTCTGCAGACTCAGACTCAGTACCCAGTCTTTGGGTGTCTTATTTCAAGATGTTCAAAATGCAGGCTGCAAAGAGACTTGACAAAGGTGGCCCAACTGAAAGCAGGATCACAGAGGGTTTCTGAGCAATGGGAGTGTGGGGTGAAAAGTGTTGCAACACAATGGTTTAGCTGAAGGAATGTGGCATAAGTCAGAAAACTGTTACCTGACTTTGTTCACTTGCACACTACTTTCCGAGGCCTGTTGGGCTCCAGGGTAAAACATCTTGTCTGGAATTATAGGCAGCTTTTTCCTGCATCTCTCAGATGCCGAGGGGACTAGATAAGCTACACTTACTGTCTTGCCAAGATCAAGTTAGAAACTAGGGATTTTCATATCTAGTCAACTAGCTGACTAATTGTTGCTGTTGTTACTAGTTAGTACCAGAGTTAGTTGTTGAATCTAACTGTTAAAATTTTAATCGATGTAAAATGTTTTCATATTAAGTGTTCTTCATCCTCTCTGTCTGGACTATAACGTGTAATGTTGATAATTCACAATGCGCTGTGCAGCACAGCGGTATGATTCATCATTGAAAAACGTGATTAATGGTTTAAAACACCTTTGTTATTAGTTTTTGACATCTTCCATTAAACAGCTCTCAAATGTAACTTAATATCCTAGTGTTTCTTAGTTTTAGACTACTTGGTTAGTCAACTTTTTTCCCCCCACAGTTAGTTGACTAAGAACATAGTTCTTATTAGAAACCTAATGTCTGGAACAAAGTATCAGTCAAGGGTACCAGTAGTAGTAGAGGTATCAGTAGAGGTAACATAAACAACCAACTCATAAATGTGAGAAGATCAATATTACTGGGTGTCAGGCCGTTTTATCAGATTGCATGCATCGCCTACGTCATGCGTGGGACTTATGGCAAATCTTCAGCATGTGAACTGTCAAGAGATTTATTCTAAAAGACACTTCTTCAGCTGCGAGTCAGAGAGTGAAGACACACATGCTGCAGTTTTTACTTGCAGGGGTGGTCACAGAGCGCTCACATCAGAGTGATGAAGTGCGCTCTGTTACCGCTCTGGTCTTTATTTATATACAAAAGTAATACAATAGTGAATACATCTGTTCATAGACAGAGGAATGTTAGTGCGTATGTATGTGCGTATGCAGGTGTATATGTGTGTTGTGGGATTCAGAAGGGAGTGAAGACAAGAGTGGTTCAGCTCTTATTATCGCTGTGGGAAGAAACTAAGAAAGAGAACAGAAGTTTTTGTAGTGAACAACAGTCTAACACATCTGAAAGGTCATCATGCAGTATTCTATCATATGCAAACTTATATCATTAAAAGCTTATACTGACTACTAAGTACAACTTTCCATTGACATGAACAATGGATAACCAGTATTGCACACTTTCTTTGTCAGTCAGCATAAAATAAATTGAACCATATTTTACTTCATTTAACTAAAAATTGACCGACCGTGTTGTAGAGCAAAGGCTTTGTTTTTCACTGTCTTGACTCGAGCTGAAGGATAACCTATCCCTTAAATTTGAGCTAATAGGGAGAGTCAGTAGCACACTGCTGTAAAGAATGAGTGAGTTGGATTCGTAACACCAGATAAAACGAAAGCTACAGAGCAACAATTACAAAAAGGGAATGTAACATAGTTATCATGTATCATGTTCTTTGTGTTTAAAAAAAAAGGAAACAAAAAAAAACATGACTATTCATCAAACTGATAAATACTATGCCAAAGTGGCATTGTTGTAAAAATGTTTGCATGCCATTATTACTCGTTTCTAGCACGTGTTATATATTATAAGAACGATTTTTACTCTTTAAGTGTGATAAATAAAACAAACGTTCTGAAATTTTGGTGGAACTGATCTATCGTACCCTTTAACAAGTATTATCCAGAGTCCCGATTTTGTAGTTTTTTTGTATATTTGTCATACTTTATGTTTCAGATCAACAAACAGTTTTTATCCCTCAGTGGTAAAAAGGTTAATGGAATATTGTCATCACCCTACTGGACACTGTGTGAACGGGATAACTTGAGAATGAGGGAATGTAGGATTTTTAAATTGACACCATGAATGCATTTACTAAAAATCTCAGACAAGTTTGTATCTTGGTGAACGGAGATCAGGTGATCAGAGGTCAGGTTTTCTGAAATCTCGTCAACACCATAACTCGGGAAAGAGGTCACCTAGGATTTTCAAATTGATGCCATAGGTCTATCTCTTAAAAGAGGTCTAGTTTTCTAACAATACACAGTTTTTAAATTATCTTTCATTTATCAAGCTGTTCACACCTGCCCTTGTTAAATCAAAATTAACTATTATCAATCACATTTGGGAAGGCTGAGTTTATTTATCTGATTACTGTCAGACCTGTGCAATCAAATAATCACTTAATTAGAACCTATGTGACAAAGTGAAGTAGACTAAAAGATCTCACAAAGTATATAATATCATGCCACAATCTAAAAAAAAAAAGAAAGAGACTGGGCAAAAAAAGTAACCATGGGAGAGTTCCAATGTGAAAAAAGTAACATTTTTATCAAATTTGAGTGGAATTACATCTGGCATAAAATTAACATAGTTTTAATTAACAAGAAGATTATACAAACAGGTAGTTTAATGGTACCTGGGACCTGGATGTCTTGATGTAATTGATGAAAACACGAGTTGTGCTCTCTACTGTCTGGCCATCAGTTCATTTCTCGAAGATCAAGTGCAGTCAGGTTATGCAGGATGACACCAGAAGGTCCACCTCTGAATGACTCAAAAACAAAAATAAAGCTGTTGGAGCGGCCTCCACTGTCAAGACTTAAGTCAGATGTAGATGCTTTGGCATGGTCTTAAACAGCCTGTTCATGCTCACAAACCCTGCAGTGTGGCTGAATTAAAATAATTTTGGAAAGAAAAACAGGCCAAAATTCCTCCACAGGGATGTGCAAGAATGATCGCTATTCATCACAAATACATGAACCAACCAGTTATAAGGTTGTGCCACTTTCTTATATGAGGCCTTGTGGTTTGGATAGCTTCACCCCCCCGTAACATGTTTACTTGGGTTATTTTTATTTTGTCGAATATTAGAATTTGTTTGATCTGAAACTTTTAAGTTGAACAAATATGCAAAAAATTAAGAAATTGGGAAAGGGGCAAATACTTGTAACTGTATGTATCTGCACTACAAAAATAGTGCCCTGGTTTCAGATGTATACATTTTCTCTCTCTCAGCTCAGTTCAGTGTGTTTTCTTATTGTATGGATGTATTCTTGTAATGTCATGATAGTGATGTATAAGTCACTGTAAAGTGTTGCATATTCCTTCTTTTTCTTTCCCATTCCATCGTTCAAAGCAGCATCCTCACCCAGACAGAGCAGTCGGCCTCAGCTGTGCCATTTTATTACCACAACAGAAAGCAGTGACCAACATATTCACAGAAGGAAAAGAGCTGAAATCCAGTCCTGACTCTAAAATGCTGCAGTGTAGGGACCAGCCCACCATGAACTGTTGTCACTGCCTACTGCTCATCCAAAAGTGTGTGTGTGTGTGTGTGTGTGTGTG